CCCTCGGGCGAAGGAGGACCGGCCGAGCTACGACCTGCCTGCAGGGCACCCTGGCTGCCCACGTCCCTCCCGGCCCACGTCGCCTGCTCTAAAGTCTGAGCCCTGGCCGCGGGGGCCTCCACCCCTGTCGCAGAGCGCTCCTTCCCTAGAATCTTAAGCACCGTTCCTGGGGTGCACCCGACTTGGGGGTCTCAGCCCCAAAGGGACAGGTCCGTCCCGAGCTGCAGGCCACACTAACTGCACCGTTCTGAGCACTAGCCCCCCAACACGGCCTTCCCCTTCGCTCCTCCTGGCCAGAGCGGGCGGCTGAATCCTGAAGTTGTTCACCTCCATGCCCCTTCACCCTCCCCATTCAGCGTAACCAAATCCCCTGCGTTCTCAATGCCTAGTGTGGTTCCCGGGTACCTGGAGCATCTAATAAAAATTCCGCGCTGGCTTCTAGCTCCCACTTCTTGCTGAACTTCATTAGGCTACCGGTCTTCTCCACGTGGGTTTCTGAAAGGCACTTCAGAAGCAGTTTGCCTTGATTGCAAACCATCTCTTTCTCAAACGGATCTTCATTTAACATTGGTCAATATTGTTGTCATTTACTCAGACACTCGGGTTAAAATTTGCTCACTCAGGGATGCTTACATTCCCTTGGAATTCAAGCAATGCACTCACTGTGTAAATCCACAAGAGCCGATCCTCAATAGTCACAAATTGTGTTATAATTTTTTCCTCCCTTCCGTCCTCACTGACCTTGCTCTGAGATTCAGGCCCTCATTGTCCTCAGCGTCCACTTGCTAACTGCACTGTTAAACTACTCAGTCCTCATTGCCGGTATCCCCTTTGTAAGGTTTCCTTATAATTGTGGGATTGGACATTGCAAAGAATAGTCAACAGTTCCGCCTTCTCATGTTGCATGTGTGTGCATCCACGGACACTTCCACACCCCTTTTGCCCACACACCGTGTCAGTTGCTCAACCACCAAGTCTAAGATTCACATTCAGATGTATAGGAATACTTAGAACACTAAAGCATGAGAGCAGGAAGTAGCCTTGGAGAGAGCATCGAAGTCCATGTTTCCAGAACTAAATTGATTATACTTATGCACCATATTTCTTAAAATCAGTGCTCTGAGCTCCAGTCTAACACTTCCGTGTTGGAAACTCTTTACACTTGATCTTAGCCAAAAGGCCGAGAAGCAATCATGCTGGAAACTCTTTAAACTAAGACTCTGAAATTTTAAAATGACGTATACTGTAATGTTTGAGAACTATCGACTACTGAACAGAGGACCATCTGAGACTCACAGGCAACCCACACCTCCAAGGGAGGAGCAGGGAGGGACATTGAGAACTCGCAACCAGCACCTGTGCCTTTTGGGTCCAGTGGTACATCACCGCCTCGCACTTGTCCATTTGAAAAGCACGAGGGGAAAGGACTGGACAAAAGAGCTCACCTTGCTCCACTCAAGGAATGGAAGCGCTGGCTTCAGTGCGGAAGCTGGACGTGTGTCCAGCAAACTAACAAACAGCGTGACAAGTTTTGCAATCTGATCTAGACCCGCAGAATCCAGAACAGGTCGGGGCGGGGCGGGGGGGCGATGGATGATGGATTTTGACTGGAGTTGTTAGAGTCTGGAGAGAGTTCACAGACAAAATGTCCTGTCCTTGTCTAAGCCAGTTGCTTTATCACCCTAGACTAAATCATTTGAACTGAAACCGAAGGATTGTTGTTCCTAAATTTCCCCTTTATTGCCAATATCTCATCAACTTACGTTCCCATTTGACAATTATTTTCATTCAAAACTACCACTTCCATTATTTTGGAGAACTGAGCACCCAAAATAACAAGGACTCTCTGTCTTCCTTTGAAGGCCATTCTGCTCCTAGGGGACCCCTCTGTCCCCGGAGATCCTTAATGAGGGTTTAAATTGTCCTCATTACCCAAGCAAAGACCTGCCACCTACCCTAGGGAGCTGCTGGCTGGAATGAAGCCATCTGCCGCCCGTCCCGTCTCTGTGGACACCGTTGCCCATGAGAACTATTCTCACTCTCCTTTGCCGTTTTGTTCTTTTTCGAACCAAGTCTCAGGGCACCAGCCTTGGTAAGTTTAGTGCATCTGAGAGCCTGAGAGAATCCTACACACAGACCCGATCCCCAGGACTACACACCCAGAAGGGGCCCCATGGCAAAGTTGGTGACGGGAAGTGCAGTCACCTGACCACTGAATGACCTGTCCTGGTGGTGCCACCCCTACGCTAGGTCAGGTGAAGACCGACTTCGATGAGATGCCGCCAGAGGCTCGCCGGGGGTCTGCAGCCGCCTCGGCTTCACCGCCGAGGCTGAATAGGATCAGGGCAATGGAAGAGGGCGCCTTTTCCCGATCATCCTTCACCTCCTGAACCCCTCCGCTTCTGTCCTCCAGGAGTCAGCGGTTCTGAGGTGCCGGCGCAAGGGAGGCCGGAGCTCCGCGGCCTCCAAAGGGAGTGGTAGCGACCTGCTTGTGAGGACCGCGCGGAGCTAAGGGAACTCTCCTGGTAGTGCTGATCTGCGGGGCTTGACCCTGTCTCTGCGGCGTCATTCCATCCCCCGGCTCCTTGTGGCCGGTCAGCCCCTGGAAACAGAACCTCCACGGAGAGATTCAGGCTGACTCTAAAACTGAGTGTGCCCCTTACAGCCAAGGCAGAAACAAGGGCTAGAGGTATGACTGACCACCGTGCCCCAAAGAGCCCGAGGCGGCTCACCTCAGGCCCCTGCCTGTGGCTGAGGAAATGACTAGAAACAAAAAGGAAAGCAGGCCGATAGGAAAAGCTCCTGGCCAAGTACGCTCCCGGGGGAATTAGGAACATTACTATGCCTGCAATATAATATTTGTTTGTTTTCCTGAGGAACAGGGCTGTAGGGCTTAGTAATATGTGGGCAGCATACATAGAAGTGGTAATAGTCCTTATTGATTTATTTATGTGGTTATTATTTTTTAAGAGCATGGTGTTGAGAGAATGTAAATTAGGAGAAATCTTTTTTCTTTCTTTTTTTAATCCTCACCCAAGGATACTTTTTCATTGCTTCTAGAGAGGAAGAGGAAAGGAGAGAGAGAGTAACGTTGATTGGCTGACTCATGGATGCACCGTTCCTGGGGGACAAGCCTGAAACCTTTCGATTCCAGGACGGTGCTCTGACCAACGGAGCCAGGGAGACAGTGCTGACTCATTAATGGCAGTAATTCAAAAGGGGAGGAGAAGGCGATGATGGGAATCTTAAATGTGTCCAAAGAAGTCCTAGTCTCTATTCTAACGGCGTCTACTAAATCTCAAACAATTCTGTGGCAAGCCCTCCTATATTTTAGGCATATATCATTTTCCTGAGCGAAGTTATTGGGCTTATAAAGGACAAAAGAACTGGGGTCGGTTGTCCCTCATCATTATTTTTACTACTCTGCCTGTTACTATGGCTTACCTCGGGGGTCGTTGTTACGTAGCATTGAATTCAGTCTCTGTTCCCGAGGCGCATCCGAGGTCCTGGAGCCCCGGGCCGGTGCTTCCCTGCAAACTTCGGGCACACAGAGGCGGCCGCTCTGCCCGGTTCTCTTGGTCCCCGCGGCCGGGACTAGCGAGCGTATTGAACTTCTCATGTCCCCTCCTGAAGCGCATCCCCAGCCCTGCTGGCCGGAAGCCCAGTGCAGGGTGTCCTGAGGGTGGCGGAGCCTGAGTCCAAGTGCCCCAAACATTTCTAACTCCACGCAGATGCCCCGGAACAGCTCGGGCCACCCTGGAAGGGCTGGAAAATGTGCTACCAGCTGCCTGAGCATCCTCCAAGTTTTCTGCCTTAGCCCAAAGCCCGGGGACCCACCGTGGCCAAAAACAGAGGTGCCACACAGTTGCCCTAGGCCCCCTTGAGCCTCTCTAAATCTTCACTGTCCCCTCATCGACCGGAGACGTTCTCACGCTGCATTGCAAGGCGTGGAGATGGAAACCTAGGGGCCCGAGGCAACGGCTGCATTTTCCAGGTCTCCAAAAAGGCTATGGAAGGCTTCCGCGGGCCCGGGACGCCCCCTGCTGGTCTGCTGTGGAATGCAGACCCAGGCGGCTGGGCTCGGGCGGGTCTGGGCGGGGCAGGGGGCAGAGGGCCTGCCAGGGGGCGCTGGCTGCGGTGAGGCGAGGGACCCAATGGGTGGGCATGGATGCGGTCATATGAGTTAGATCGTGTGTGTGTGTGTGTGTGTGTGTGTGTGTGTGTGTGTGTGTGTGAATGGCATATGCAAATACAGGAGCAGAATGCTGGGTACCAGAATTTCTACAGAATGACCTACGTTTATGGGACTTATTGTGGATTTTTTTTTTAATGGCTCAAGCCTGTATCTATTATTTGTTTCTTACCTGAAATCTCATCAATTCCATAATAAAACTGATTTCACTTGGATAACTCATTTTGAAAAATAGACGTCACACAGGACATCTTCAGTAGGACACCTGAATTGATTTCATTAGGTTCCCATATCAAATTACGACAACAAGGTGGCTGAAATGCATCCCCATTGCAGTCGAGACACTGGAAGTCCAAAACCGAGGTGCCAGCCGGCCCCGTTCCATCTGAGGACTTCCGGGGAGAATCCTGACAATCGCCTCCTAGGACAGCAACTCCAGTCCCCGCCCCCGACGTCAAAGGCCACCTTCTCTTTGGCCTGTGTCTCAAATCTCCTGCTCTTTCTCTTAGGAGACTAGCGGTCCTTGGGTTTTGAGCTCAGCCTACGTTCGGGATAACCTCTTCCCGAGACCCTTGAGTTCACCAGACCTGAAAGGCGTCTCTTGTCTCTGCGGGGGAGGAGTGGCCACGCCCTGATCCTCAACGCCAGCAAGCCCGGCACCTGATTGGTCAGCGGACCTCGGTCCTGGCCATAAAAAGCCGGAGGGGGGCGCCGACCCCTCCACTCGGAGGCCTGCTCAGCACGGGGAGCTTCGCTCTGCTGTGGGCTCTTTCAGGTGAGGAAGCTCCTGAAGACGGTCTCCGGAGCCATGGAAACTGTTTCCCCGGGCCAGAAAGATGAGTCTCAGCTCAATGTCACTCCGACACGCGACCGTGCCCGGTCCAGCACAGGTGGAGCCGAAGCGCATTGCGGGGGAAGCTGTCGCTTGGAGGAGCCACCGCTGCCGCCGTCCCAGACAGTGCGCACTCTGCATGATGGGCTGGCTCCCACCCGGGACCGTTCGAGCTGGAAGAGACGCCCTGGGGTCGGGGCTGGGCTTCGGAACCTGGGGAACACATGCTACGTGAACGCAGCCCTGCAGTGCTTGACTCACACCCCGCCCCTGGCCCGCTACCTGCTGTCCCGGCGGCACTCGGAGACCTGTCCGAGGCTGGCGCCCTGCGTCCTGTGTGCCATGCAAGTGCACGTGGCGCGGGCCCTGCTGCGTCCTGCCGACGCGCTCCAGCCGCCTGAGGAGCTGCTCAGCGGCTTCCACAGACACCGGCAGGAAGACGCCCACGAGTATCTCATGTTCACCGTGAACGCCATGCAGCAAGCCTGCCTGCGAGAGTGCGAGCAGCTGGCTGGGCCCTCCCCGGACGCCACCCTGATCCGTCAGATATTTGGAGGGTACTGGAGATCTCAGATCAAGTGTCTCCACTGCCACAGCGTGTCTGACACCCTGGACCCGTACCTGGACATCGCCCTGGACATCCAGGGGGCTCAGAGTGTGACCCAAGCCTTGGAACTGCTGGTGACGCCCGAAAAGCTGGATGGTGACAATTCCTATCAGTGCAGCGTTTGCCTCAAGAAGGTGCCTGCTTCCAAGACCTTGACTTTGCACACAGCCTCGAAGGTCCTTATCCTGGCGTTGAAACGGTTCTCCGATTTCACTGGCAGAAAGATGGAGAAGGACGTGCACTATCCCGAGCACCTGGATGTGGGACCGTACCTGTCTCAGCTGAACACGGGGCCCCTTGTGTACGAGCTCTACGCCGTGCTGGTCCACACGGGGTGGACCTGTCACAATGGCCATTACTTCTGCTACGTCAAAGCTGCAGACAGCCAGTGGTTCACCATGAATGACACTAAAGTAACCGCCTGTGATGCTTCTTCTGCCCTGTGCCAACGTGCGTATGTCCTCTTTTACATCCAGAAGAGTGATTTGGAAAGAGACGGTGGGAGTGCGTCTATAGGCCTTGGGACAGAGCCTAAGGTCCTGGGATCAACCCAGCGGCGGCCTGGGAGTCACTCCAACATCACAGGTCTTGAGTTGGAGGGCCCCACGCAAGACACGTCTGTCAAACACATCTCCTTAGAGCAGTGGAAGCTGCTCCAGGAGCAATCCCGACCAATGCCGGCCTTCAACGTCAGGAAGGTCTCAGGCGCCCTGCCAGCCGACGCCATTGTGATTCACCCGTCCAAGTATGGAGGGGGCGTGACCAAGCTTCCTCCGGGACAGGAAAACTGCCTGCTCAACAAGGCGCCTGCGGGGAAAGCCAAGGCTGGCAAGAGAAGGAAGAAGGGCCCGAGGGCCCTGCGTATGTCCCTGTGACCTTGGCGGCAGCGCCGATGCACGTGCCTGTCCGGACTTCCCCGTGGGCGCTGTGGGAAGGGTCTGTGGTGGGGGGAGGGGGCACAGGATATGTGATTTTTGCAACGTGGGATACTTTTGAATCAAGGTAGCTACTTTCAGATAATAAATATAGAGTGTTTTGAAAGACGTGGAGGATGGAGTTTATTTTCCCATGTTTTCTAAGGGATTGGGCATCATACGACCTCTCTGGGCAGGTCGTGGGTGGCGTGGCGGGGGGACCCGAGGGCGGGTGGATGTGGGCGGTGGATGGACTCTGCACATCTGCTCCTCCGGCTGTTAGAATGGCTTATGGTCGGTCGGCGCTGCCGGACACAGCGGGGCACAGCGTGCAAGTGCGCGTGAATGGCCACGCAGTGCAGCTGCTGCTTCTGCCTCAGGGACGGCGAAGCAGCCTGAACCGTGGTCTCACTTCCGGGGTGGCGCTAAAGGGGACCTGGGTGGATCTCTTGTGTTCCCGTCATGGTGAGCTCTCACAGGTCCACTGCTGCAGATGGACGATTTCATGACTTGGTTCACACACTCCTAAGTAAAATTGAGCCATACGTTTTCCTTCAGCCCCATGAACCCCTTCATGACACCACTGAGAATTTTTCCGTTCGTCACCCAGACAGGGGACAGAAGCGTGCCCCAGAGGAATGGTTTAAATGCTGAGAGTACATTGATGGAAACTTAATCTTCAAACTCAAATTCTTCTGACAGTTTTTAAGGATGACATTTTATAAAGGAAGCAATCTTAAAATGGATTTATTCTTTTTTGGTTGAATTACCATCTGGGATCCTTTCCTGGAGCCTTCAGAGAGCGCTCGGTCTCAGGTCGTGGTGGGGGAGGAGGCAGGACTTGGGCAGGTTCATGGAACCTGGCTGGTTCTCCTATCACATGGAGAAACAGAAACACTCTCTGGGTCCCATAATAAACACGTGCGGGCCTGTGAGCCCAAGAGCACACCTGCTCTGCCACGCCCGTTACCAAGCGATCCTAGTGTCCTCTGTGCCCAGGAAGCCCAGGACCAGTCTGGGGCGAGAGTGCCTTCCAAGAACCGTGGCGGGGATGTGAGCGGTAGCGCCCCAAGATCTAGGCACCCAGCTGGGCCGCACGGCCAGGAGGCAGCCCGAGGGCGAGGGCTGAGAGTGCTGCGCCAGCGTGTTCCCACGCCCGGGGCTCCTGAGCCCGGGTGGAGACGCGGGTGTGGCTCTGGGTCCTGCCTTCCTGTAGAGAGCTGGGCCTTCAGCCATCTCGTGGAAATGCCTGAAACCAACGAGTGTCCTGGCAGGCAGGCAGTGCACGGACAGCTCTGCGCCCTGGGACCTGCCGGAGGGTTCTCCCAGGAGCCTTGTCCTGATCGCAGGGGTTCTCGGGGGCCTTGACTCTCCATCCTCCTGCTTCCCTTGGTCATCAGGGAGCACAGGGCCTGGCGCACCCCTAGGACACTGAGTCCAAGGACCTGGGGAGTCACCTCAGTGGGCCACGTCATCCCTTGGGGGGGGGGTTAAGTTTAATTTCCAAATATGAAGCTTAGTTTTAATACCATTATTTACATTATTTACTTCTGTGGTCATCGTCATTACTTTGGGTATTTGTCACTCTTTTTATGGTAACTTTGCTTAGGAATGACTTCAGTGTCCTTGGCTATTAATTGTTGACTAGACCTTTTCTGGGAGGGGGGTGTCTATTTTTCACCTGCGCCACACCCGCGTCTCCACCCAGGCTCAGGAGCCCCGGGCGGGCGTGGGAACTCGCCGGCGCAGCCCTCTCAGCCCTGCAGACGGGGGCCCCCTTGGAGGAGGCAGACGTGTCTGCCTGTTTTCAGGGAGCCGGCTGCCCTCTCCGAGATGTACTGTTGAGGATGTAAACAGTACTAGGGCGGAGGGGACCTAGAGAATCCAACAGTGCAGTCTCTGGACGGCCTTTGGGCCCATTATTTGTCAGAAACAGGGGCTCCTATGCACCTAAACTGACTTGGGCCTGGCTTCCAGGGAAAACAATGAAGGAAAATCACACCTGTTGCTGTCTCACAGGAGGTCGGGATTACGACTGACTTCAACTTCAGGGGCGGGGGGATGTGGGGGGCGGGAACGTGTACTGTCTTAGGCAGGCGATAGAATTCCTTCCCCCTCGTCCTCCAAGGCGGCGTCACGTTTTCCCACCCTGCCTCTAGAGTGGAGCCCCGTGGGCAGTTTTTGAAAAATCGGGGTCCCAGTCAGGCCCAGCATTTGGGGACCGCGCTCGTGGTCAGAGCAGCGGTGACCACAGGCGGGACCCTGGGAGAGTTTCCCCTTGGTGTTGAGGTTCAGTGTTGGCGTTTGTTGAAGCGCAGCATTTCCAGCCCCGGGGGAAAAAGTGGAAAAACCCGCTCTGTGAGAAACCGTTTTGGCTGGGGAAAGCAAGCAGTGTTAATTATTAAAAAAACAAACAAACAAACAGCTTATGCGGTGGCCAATAGGATTAGGGATTTATCTTCCTGCAGCTTTGGTCTCTGGGCTGTTGGGGGGAGGGAGAGGAATAGCTCTGGTCCAATCCGGGAGGACCGGTGGGTGTGTATATTGGGAATTATCTAAGATGCAGAGCGTGGTTGTGGAATTCACTGTTTTCTCTCCATTCCTCAGTGGAGAGGTTTTGGGACAAAATTCATGACACTTTCTGTGGACCAGGTGGCCAGAGCTGTCTGTCTCCTGTCCCCATGTTGCTTCCATACTCCGAGGGGCCACCAAGGTTCTCAGGTGAGACACCTGTGACCTGCCCCCATGACCTTGCCTGAGCAGGGTCCCCGCACCCTGAGGCACCGAGCGTGCGGGGCTGCAGAAATGGAAGCTGTGCCGCCACCAGACGAGGGGGGAAGGGTGCCGGTGGGGGAAGGCGGAACGGGGAACCAGGGTCTGTGGAGAGAGCTGTTGGAGGGGGAAGGGCTGTGGGGGCTCAGCCCGGACCCCCACCCGCGGGCCGAGGAGCGCGGGCCCGAGGGAACGTGCTCAAAACCGCCTAAGGAAAGATGGCACCAACACTTACTTTCCTTTGCAACAGGTTTTATTGTTTTAACTCTCTGCATGCAAGCTATGTTTCAAAGGTTTAATTTCGTACAAAATTCTACACTTGATATTCTCAGGTCACCTCGGCCTCCTACATTTTATGCCACAAGTTTCATAAACAGGTATTGCCTCAAAGTCTCAATCCCTGGGATGGGTGATACAGGATTCTCTTAGAAGTTGTCACACACATGCACACGCTGGTATTTTCTGCTGTGGAGCCTAACGGGACATGTCTCCGCTCTGCGTTCAGGACGGCTCTCTCCTCGGCGTGGGAACCTCCAGGCTGACTGCGCGCTACGCGGCCGCTGAAGGGCTTGCCTTCCCTGCGCCGGGAGTGTTTTGTGCCGTGCGAATCCTCGCTGGTTCCAGGAGTGTTGCTTTAGGAACAGAGGACTTCTGGCGATTTTACACTGAATACCTTGGCCAGGGCAAGTGATGGGTAAGAAGTGTTGGTACCCCTCCAGGAGCCGCACCCTCTGGTTTCCCGTGTTAGCGTTTCGTCCTTCACTGCATGTTCTGTGCTCACGGAACCTGGTACTTGGCTGCCTGTTGATAGCGGTCACAGGCCTAGGGGCTCTCCATGTGCGGTGCGTCCCTTCTACCGATAATGACAAATGGAGCGCTACAGGCTGTCCCCGAACGGGGCGTCACGTGTCTTCCAAGGTCAGCACTGCTGCCGAAAACATCTCTATCTGTACACGTACAGTGTGGGTCCTGTCACACTGAGATCAGGCCAATGCCCAAAGGGTCCGGTCACGGGAGTGTGGCGACGAAGGGGTCTTCTCTGGCGCTCACAGTGTTTCTTTAATGTGTGAGTCCGCTGGCGTGTTTGCACGTTAAGCTGTGAGTGAGGTCCCTCCATCTTTGTTACACGTGAAATGCCGTGGCGTTTTACGTTGGAATATTTACTGCAGGCTTTCATGACTTTCTGCTCTGTGTTGGGTTCCCTCATGTCGCCTAAGAGAAGAGCAGTGGCCGAAGGATTTCCCGCACACCCGGCACGCGTGTGGCTGCTCTCCAGTGTGCGTTCTCTCGTGTCGCCTGAGATTAGCATGCTGACTGAAGGCGTTCCCACACCGACGGCATTCGTATGGCTTCTCTCTAGTGTGTGTTCTGTTGTGCCGTGTGAGCTCAGAACTTTGCCCAAAAGCCTTCCCACACACGAGACAGACGTGTGGTTTCTCTCCCGTGTGGATTTTCTTGTGCTGGCTGAGGCCAGAGCTTTGACTAAAGGCTTTCCCACATTGATGGCATTTATAATGCTTCTCCCCCGGATGGGTTCTCTCATGTTTCCAAAGGTAAGATCTTTGACTGAAAGTTTTGTCACAGAGGGGACATGCATATGGTTTCTCCCCTGTGTGAATTTTCTCGTGCTGCCTAAGGTAAGAGCTTTGACTGAAGGTTTTCCCACACTGGGAGCATCGATAGGGCTTTTCTCCTGTGTGCACTCGACTATGGTTTCTAAGGTCAGAGCTTTGCAAAAACCCATTCCCGCACTGATGACATTTGAATGGTTTCTCTCCAGTGTGAGTCGCTGTGTGTCGTCTGAGGCTGGAGTAATGACTGAAGGCTTTTCCATAGAGACGACATGCACATGATTGACCTGCAACGTGAATGTGACTGTGGCTACGAAGGTGTGACTCTTCACTAGGTGGCTTTGCACACTGTGGGCTGACATCATGTCCTCTTCCCGTGTGAGTTAAAGAATATTGAGTCAGAGCAGATCTATGAGTAAATTCATTGCTCAAATCAGTATGTTCTGTACGATCCTCCGGAGGGTGAGATTTCTGCTTTGGGGAAGGAGATGAAAAGGTTTTAATGGTTTGCCCACATACATCCATACATTCATTTCTCCACCTATAAATCCTGGAAGAGCAGTCAGCGATAGTCTCAGGGAAAAGTATTTCCAGTGGTAGTTGTGTAACCATGTTATG